TTGCAAGCTAGGATGACGGGGGCCACTCCAGCCCCGCTTCCTCTCTGATCAGGCCTCTCTGATCACTTTTCCTGGGGCACCTGGAGACCTTATTTGTCTAAAGTAGGCTCATTAAGACTTGTCCTTAACGTGACACAAAGGGCAACATCTCTGAATGTCATGTGTGTCCAGCAAGCCAGCTTACTTAGTATACAGGCCTATTTTTAGTAGTACCCAAAAAAGCCTGTTACTATATCACAGCACCTCATTTGTCCCCATTTGTTTACCGGGCTGTGTCCCATGCTGGCTCCGGAGTAGCCAGACAAAAGCAGGGACCAGGTCTCTTTCATCTCCAGATCACACCGGGCCTGGCACAGAACCAGCATGCCATGTGTTTGCTGGAAGGATGAGGTTTTCATTGTCCCCTGCAAATGGGCTGCTGAGAGCAGGTGTTCTCAAGCTGAAACGTAGGTGACGTCAGGGACCAGTCCATGACTCCCTCGAGAAATGGTGTAAAAAGCTCATGGCAGTGGGAGTTGGGGGAGGCAGTGCCCTGGGGCACACCTGTGAATGGTGTGTGTGTGTGTGTGTGTGTGTGTACTCTGTGCCCAGGACATATTTGTGTTCACAGAGCCACTTCATGAGTACGTATGTGTGACTGTGTGGTGTCTGTGGTTTTCATCATGTTTTCAGAGAGTGTGGACCCAGCAGTGTAAGAAGGGTGGAAACAGACTGAAAAGCAGCAAGCAATAGTAAGGGGCCTCTCTGCTTGACCTCAGGAAAGTCAAGGCTGGTTCCGTACACTTGAGCCAAAAGGGAGTCAGAAGAGGAAATGCATCAGACCCACTGAGGCAAACTAATAGTGAGCCACCAGCATTTCTGTCCCCAACCCAGCACACAGGGGATCTGATACTTCTGGAGATGACCATGGACTCCTGGGGAATTCCAGGTTAGAAGGGGGAAGAACCCACTGAACCTCAAGAATGCCCAGGGCACTCTCACAGAAGGGGCCACCAACAGGGTGTGATCGGCAGCCACCAGGATCCTAGAACCCTTAATCCTATTCTCTACATGGGATAAACTTGGACAGCTCATCCACCAGAAGAGAAATGAGAGCGCTCTTAACACATCTCCGGGCAAATAAATTTGGAAACGCAGCTGGACAAAGTGCATAGTTTCTTGGATACGGTTTACCAAAACTGACTCCCGTAGAAACAGCGAACATAAATAGGGCTGGTGAGATGCCTCTGCAGGTAAAGGGCCTGCCACCAAACCCAGCCACTGAATTCGGTCCCTGAAACCCGTGTGATGGAGGAAGAGAACTGACTCCCACCGGTTCCTCAGCATAGGAAGGAGAGAGACCTAAGGCCAGCTGCACACGCAAGAGAATCACGGGAAAGCATCACCTTGGAATAGGGAAAGACCTTCATATGCAATCAAACTGATATTGCCACCACAAGAAATACTGGGAATGATGAATGCACTTATATATTTACACTTAGATGACCTCTTACTATATAAACCAATATGCAGCAGGTTTAAGAATAAGCTCATATTTTCTCATAGACACTCACATGCCTTTTATGCCAATCAAGTCCCATTCCTAATAAAACTCCCAGGGAAACAGGGATGGATACCTTCTGAGCATAATAAACGCATACATCTGAAGCCTACACGAGCATTTGAGGTCCTCCTACCATGGTCAAAAGCAAGGCAAAGGGGACTGGAGAAGCTGGTTCATTGGTTAAAAGTGTCTGTTCTTCCAGAGGACCAGAGTTCAGTTCTCATCTACACTGGGTGGCTCACAACCAACTGTAACTCTATCTCCAGATGCCAACGCCCTCTTCTGGCCTCTACAGACAACTGCAAGCACATGGTGCACACACCCACACATAGCTACATACACACACACACATAGTTAAAAATAAGTTTTTTAAAGAGACAAAGATGATTGGGTGGTGGTGGTGCACACTTTTAATTCCAGCACTGAGGAGGCAGACAGGAGGCAGATCTCTGTGAGTTCAAGACCAATCTAGTCTACACAGTGAGTTCCAAGACAGCCAAGCATAGCTAAAGCTACATAGAGAAACCTTGTCTTGAAAACAGAGAGAGACCTACAATCTCCACTTTGATGGAATCTTTCATTTTAGGTATCAGCCAATGCATTCAGAAAGACGATAAGAGGGGCCTGTTTAGGGATACTAGCATGGGCAGAACTGGGTCTCGCCTGGGGTAGCTCCAAGATAGAACATGGTAACTGCTTAGAAAATTAGTTGGATGAGTGACAGAAGAACGGCTCGTGCTGACCGTGAAAGGAAAGGTTTAGTAAATGCTAGAAACAAAACCCGCAGTGGTTAATTTCAGTGGATTAGTTCACCCAAAGTGCACCGCGGAATAGAACTACTATTTTAGCCACTTACAAACAAGCAAACTAGGGTCCAGAAAGAGGTTAAATGGCTTGCCCTAGCCCACTCCTCCTGTCTTCAGTCCCTTGCTTGCCGTGGCCCGTGGACCAAGTGCCTCCCACGCAGGGGAGGAGAGAAAGGCCTCCCAAACGGTAAATCAGCACCTAGGCTCAGACTTCAGCTCTGCCATCGACCGGCTCTGCTTTTTCCAGAAACTTACTCCACCTCTCTAGGCCTTCGAGTTCTCCTCTGTAAACTGGGAGTCAAAAACCATGCCTGCCTGCTAGGGTGAGAGGTATATCCCATGGACCAAGCCAAAGATCTGACCTCCCAAAACGTCCCTGTGTGCCTTCACCTGTTTTCATCAGCATCCATCTCGTTGTTGACCCTTTTCCTCCTGTGGATTTTACCAGGCTCGTGGCCAGCTGACTCAAGGCATATCATTAGAACCAGAGCCTAGTATCAAGATGAAGGTCAGCTTAGGTCTCAGGGACTCCCACTATGAAGGAACGGAAAGGGGAGACCCCCAGAGGTGACCCCACGGCTGTCGTTACAGTCCCTTCTGTGACGCTTGCCCCCCCCCCCCACACACACACAGAGGCCTCACCTTCCCAACAGATTCCCAGAGCATCACTCGCCGCACCTGAGCAAGGGCCTCACCTAGTGACTTTCCTACGAACGCAATCTGGAAAGGGGTCACCAGGAAGAAGCTCACAGGCCTTTCCCCTGCAGGGAAGGTCGGGTCAACAGCAATGAATCGGGCTGATAGTATGTCCCCTTGACATAAGAAGAGAATGGCCCCACACTCCCGTGATCTCCCTAACACCTCTAGCCTGATCTAACCAGGCTACATCATAACCAGAAAAACATCAGAAAAAACCCAAGTTAAAACACGGTGGCATCAGCCTGTGACCCTGGAAGATGCTGTGGCAAGGAAGCTGTCTAGTTCCAGGACAGCCCAAGTTACATGATACCCTGCCGCAGACATAAATTAAACAGGCTGTATATAACATATCTATAGTACCTATTTCTAACACAGTACTTCAAGGCTGTTACACACACACACACACACTGGAAAAGCACAGACTTTTCTTCATGACCAAGCATCAGTAACAAGTACATATGCCCTGTTAATGCCCCAGGCCCATAATAAGAGGGAAGTGGGCTACTGAGTTACTATCATAGTACTTCTATAAATGAGAAACTGGAACCCCCAAAATAAAGTTTATTATTAAAACAACAACAACACAGGTTACTAGGCTTTCCCATGGTCATTAAGCTGCCCATCTGCTGGCCACTCGCCCTACTTGCCAAGAAAAACTATAAAAAGCACCTCCCACCAGATTTGGCTTGGAAACTATTTCCCCGGAAATCCTCACCCTCCACCCTTACCTCAGAGAGAGAGAGAGAGAGAGAGAGAGAGAGAGAGAGAAAGAGAGAAAGAGAGAGAGAGAGAGAAACTGTGAGCCTGAGAGAGGTGTGTGAATTCCCCACCAGATGTGACTTTAATCTTAATGAACAGAGACCACGGATACGTGTGGATGGCTTAGATTCCTAATTGTCTTTTCAGTGGAAAGCCGTCTAAAACATCAACACTGCCTCTTCCACTATAGTTAGCACCTGTAGCCAAAACACACAAAATTGTCACCAAGCAGGTCTCTTCCCAAAGGTTGCCCGCGAGGACCCTGCTGGAAGAAAGGTTAATGCCACCACGACTCTCAATATCTTCCAGCCAGCATCGCAGCCCTTCCTACGCACCAGGCACCAGATGCCAGCAAGCCTGGAGCCATCGGGGCATCTGGAAGCTGCCAGCAGGCTTGCTCCTGGGCCTGCCACAAGCACGGGCTGAGCTGCTAAAATCAGGAAACCTGGTTAGGTTCTTGTTTGCTCCCAGACAAGCTTTCTAACTAGAAACCATGAGGCTGGGCGAAGAGCCTCCTCCTGCTTCTGACAGAATGTTGCTGATAGGGGCATTTGGCCAACCCCCAGCAACAGAGGCCAAATGAAGGTGCGGGCTGAACTTAGGCAAAAACAACCTGTGTCCTCCTCACCTAGGTGCCCCCCATCCACTACAGCATGGGTGAGGGGCTGGTGGAAGATCACTTAATAAGTGCGCTGGTCCACCTGCGGTGACTGTAAACTCAGAGAGGAAATGGGCCAGCCTCCTGACACCCAAGGCAAACCACCCTCTAGCATGAGACACACAGCCTCTTCCTTAGTTTCAACACAAAGTCCCCAACAACCGGCTCCCAGGATGCCACAGGGCCACTGTCTCACAGCCTCAGGGGTAAGATCTTCAGACTCTAGCAGCCTCCCTGACATCCTTGGGCAGACGCCCCTCCACCAACTCTACTCTCAGAGGGCAAAGACAGCACTTCCACTACCTCTGGGGTGTCCTGGAGACCTGACCATCCTTTGTTATGCTAACAGCGACCCTCAGGGGGAACTGAAAACCGCCCCCTCAGGGTGGTTGCAGCCACTCTCTCTGGCTAACCTCCCTGTCACCAGGGCAGGGGCAGTCCCTGCTGCAAACTCCTGAAGAAAGCCGTGCACCGGGTCCCCAGGCCCAAGTCCCCGCCAGGGCTCGAGGGCCAGGCGGGGGGAGCCTCCACCGACCTTCGATGGGTTTCAGATAGTCATAATCGAAGAGGATGGAAAAGTCCAGCTCGTCCTGGGGACTGCCCCCAGGCTCGTGGCCTGGGCCGTCCCCACCGTCGGGGTCGGGCTGCGGCTCCGGGGCGTCCATGGCTGGGGCAGCTGGGCTGCGGGGCCTGATAGGGTCGCGGTGAGGGGAGGAGGCTCGCGCGGACCGGAGTCACCGTGTCTGGGGCGCACGCCGGGGCCGGGGATGACTCGCGGCGCAGTGGGTCCTGGACGCGTCCGGGGAGCGGGTGACGGCGCGAGCTTCCTGCTCAAGGCACCTGTTGCAGCCTGGAGGGGGCGGGGGGCGGGACGGCGGTGGCTGGCGGGCGGGGCGCCGCCCAGACGGGGAGGGGCACAGCCCGGTCTGGCCTGAGCGACAGGCCCAGGCAACTTCTGCTTCACCTGCCACTGTCTGACCCAGGGTCCCGCCAGAAGCTGCTGCTCGCGAGCTCTACCTTAGGGACCACTCGCTGAGCCTTTCCTGGTTCCTCTCCTTCGCGGGGGAGGAACGCCCTGTCTTCTCTGGCATGCCCACAGCTGTGGTGCTGTTCCAAGTCTCTGATTTGCAAGCCCCGACCTCAATTGACCAGGCCTGAGCCATCTACCCGCTGCCACCTGGCGTATAGAGCCACTGTAGCCCTATTGGGGCAGATAAGGGACAAAGATCAGGACCCTTTTTGACCACCGGGAGAGGACTCGGTACCAAGGGGAAGTGACACGCGAAGAGTTTGATTGATGATGATCTGGGGACCCTGTCCTGACAGTGAGAACAGGAAGTGGTCTGATGTGTGGGAGGTAGGGCTGACAGGTAACTCATACATCCGCCTGATGAAAACTGTAGATTACCTGGCTCCTCCCCATGGCTTTTGGTGCCATAAATCTGGGTTCAAGCCCAGGAATATTGGATCAAGCCCCCAAGATAAAGATGTGAAAGCTGCTGAATACAGCAGAACCCAGGGCCACCCTCCAGGGAGCCTCTCAGCTTATAACCTCTCAAACTGAGAAAGTAGGTAGCAGAGCAGAACCGGGCAGTGGTCCCCTGTGCCCCTGGCTGGTTTCAGCCACCAGAACAGCTTTATAAAGGCCAAATCTTTACATGGGGCCACATGTGAGGGGGTGATTAAGACTTCAGGAAATCAAAAGATGAGAAGTCGGGGGGATGGGGAGGGCGCTAAGGTCCTGGTCACAACCCAGGCTTGAGGAATGACTAGACTGCTGCAGCATGGACTAGGAAGAAGGGAGCAGAGGGCAAGCACTCTTCGGGGAGAGCCGCTTCTCCACCATGGAGGTCTGCTTTCAACCTCCCCATCATTGAACTGGGCGTAGCCAGGCATGGACCCGAGAGGCAGAGGTGGTGGGACAGCTTCCAGCTTGAAGCCTGCCTGGGCTATGGAGAGAGAAACTCACCACCAAAAACAAACAAGCAGCTCTCAGCACTCTCCTCACAAATATTTGGTGAGTTCCTGCTGCAAATGCTGAGAGGCGGCTGGGCAGAGCATCCTCAAGGTCACTCCTCTGCCCTCGACAACTCTCGGTAGGGTTTCCCCAACACCCAGGCACACACCGGAATCTTGTAGAGACCAGTTACAACATTAGACACCCCGAGACCCACTGAGCACCAATTTAGCCAGGATCCTATCCACCTACCCAACCAAGCACCATCCATGAATATGCCACGGTGCACAAACTGTGATTGAGGTGATCGGGACTTGTCCACACATCATGGATAGTTGGCCCATGGGCCCCCTGGCATCCACATTCTTAAAACAGCTCTCCATACACTTCCAAATGAGAGGCCCAAGGTGGCAGCAGCTGGTTTAGACTCCAGCCAAGACCTTGCTATCCACATCTCTAGAAGGAAATAGATCTTCATGGGTCCTTACAACGGGGGGCCCAGGCCACACTCTGATATTCGGCCAAGGAGAAACAAGAGAAACACTGTCATACAGATGAAGAAAAACTCTTGAGTTCCCACCCACCCCACCCATTCTTTCCCATCCCTCTACCCCAGGGGTTCTCAACCTTCTGAAGGCTTTGTACCTTTAATACTCCTGTTGTGGTGACCCCCAACCATAAAATTATTTTTGTTATTACTTCCTAACTGTAATTTTGCTGCTCTTATGAATCATAAATAACTGTGTTTTCTGATCCACCCATGATCACTGAATGTTTTTGATCCAGTGGGCATTCATTGCCTGTGCCAGCCAAGACTTCTTCCTCTGTTCTGGTAACAGCTCCCCGGGGTGCTCATCTGGGAAGCTACTTTCTCGCCAGTGTTGGGAACCGAATATTAGGCCGTTATTCCACCACTGAACTATACTCCAACCCCTGGGAAGCCGCTCTTAAGACGATCTTGGTAGAAATATCAACACAGTTGTCCCATCGTGCCTGATAAGAAAGAGAATGAAATACCTAGACCTGGCCAATCAGAGAATTTTATCTCCAAAGACCTATGAGATCCACTAAGGTGGGGGCCATGGCCACCTCATTCACGGCTTTATGTACAATGATGTATTCATGAATGGCGTTTGGGTGGATAGTTGGATAATTGAATAAAGAGATGTTTTGGACAGATGGATGGTTTAGGTGGGTAGATGTGTGGATGGATGGATGGATGGATGGATGGGTGGGTGGATGGATGGATAGATAGATAGATAGATAGATAGATAGAT